TTTTTTGTGCTATTTTTTCAAATTTCTCTCTCTTTTTCATATTCTGCAGATTTATCTCCAAAGAATATTCTAAACAATATATACATATTGTATACATAAAATAACAACCAAGTTTTTTCTTATCACAAATGCTACTCAAGCAGTAAGACGACTTTGTAATTTGCGCGTGTAAATATGTGAATTTGAAAAAAAAAACTGATTTTTACCCGCTTAATTTTCTTTTTTTTTTTACAGAGCTTGTCTTCTCACCCACATGCCGTAGATGCTGGATCGAAGTTGAGATGTATCGCGTATCAAGAATTTATTACACGTCGAAGTTACACATCATTTTGCAAATGCGTACGGACGACTCGTGAGTCTTGAGCGGACTTTCGAGTGCGTCATTAGACGCGCTCAAACGTTCGCAACTGTGCATATTCTCAACGACCTCGATGATGAAGCAGTGCTTAAAAAAGCTGGTCGGCCACCATCAAGGCGGACTCTTGAAAATTCGCGATCGACAGGGATGAAAAGTACGTTACAATATTTGATTATCAATGTTTCTTTGTCTCCCTTCCTCTCTTTCTTTTTAAGATTTACCTTATTAATAAATATTACAATAATTTAACGGGCAATGACCTGAAATAAAAATATTACAAATTACGAAGAGAAACAAAGAAGAGATATATATATATAATATTTAAATTAAAAATAACAACACTAGAAATAAAAGTTTCGACACCGATCGGGTTATTCTCAATGTTAACAAATTATTAGAACATAACTAATACGATTTTTAGAATATTAAATTATTAGCATATAAATGAACAATATTAAATTTTAAAGTAGCGTGAATGTAACAACATAACTAATATAAATCGAAGCCTATACAAATGTTTCGCAATAATAATAATTATTTTTAGATTTTAACATCGTTAAAAGTATAAGATATAAGATGCCAAAAGAGCATCGAATAATTAAATTGTTAATCAATTTAATTCGTATTAGTACTACGGTAGTTTGTTAGAGTTGCGTTTCAAGACCGACAATTGTTCTCTCGGCGCGCAGTTTAGGAAGATTACATATAGTATATAAATTCACGCGAAATTATATATAAGCAACTAAGATCCAGCTAGACTGTTATAGGCTTCGATTCATATTAGCTATGTTGTTACATTGACGACGGTCCTTTAAAATTTAATATTATTCGTTATTATATAAGACTTCTTTCAAAATTTATCGCACATAAATTATATAATAAAGACAGAATATAATAAGATTTCATTTAAAAAAAGATTATTTTCAGAAACGTGCGAAATACGTGTACCTCGAGCGGGACACGGGTGTCTCGTCTGGGGATTCGGCACCATAATCACTTGGAAAAATAAGCGACGAAATGATGATGATGGAGCACAAACAGACGATACTGCTGGCACCCTCACTCAGCAACAGCAGTTGCTGGCGAAGCGGCACCGATGCCGCTTGGACAGGTCCAGGCCCTGGAGAGCTAATACGAGCTGCCTTGATATTGCTACTTAGTCTTGGTATTCTGTGTGCCAATCTTCTGGTGATATGTGTTATCAATAGCAGACAGTACAGCAAATATATACATGCTCAGGTTGGTACATTTAAGATATAATGTAATTTGATTTACGTAATTATTAAAAAATAAGCTAAGTTCGTTGCTCCATTGATAAATTTTATATCTTGTTAAATATGAATTTTAAAAGTCAGTCTTTTTTGTTTTTATATCGTGAAATAATAATAATTATAGAATCTATATAAAAATCTCAAACTTCCAAAATATTGGAGAGAACGATACAGATGTCCCTGAAAATTTTGCTCATTACTTGAATGATAGGATAGAATTATATAATATTCAATAAAAGAAACATTCTTTGTATACATAAACATCTAAATACGTTAGCTAACAAAAAGCCAAAATACATCATACAATGTAATTAATATTATATACTTGTTTTGTATCCTATAAAAGGATTACGGTAAAATATTAGTTACGTGAACGTACGAAGGGGTTTCAGTCGGTGCCATAACTCACAGTCCGTGATGGAAGGGTTCGCGGTATTTTCTCCATTTCTCTCTTCTTCCTATGTAAATCAGTCTGAAGTGGTTAGCTACACGAAATACAGGACAGTCATGTTTCTGGGTTCTAAATGAGCACCGTCGAGTTTTGTGGAGACTGATGATGCCCGCAAAAAATTTTGTACATTTACAAATGTTTTATTTTCTATTTTTTTATTAATTAAATTTTTCTGACATCGTAATATGTACGTAATACTGAGAATATCTTTACAAAAACCCAATTATAATAAAAGCATTTCTTAATATTAATCGATTTATTTTTCTGGAGAAAAGATATGTATGTATACAGATTAGATATTTCTATAAATGTATGGGTACATAAAATACATTCTTATTCCAATTCTGTGAAAATTACATTAGTTTAACTCCTTTTCGAGAAACTGTTATTCTAACAATCATTTATCTCGCTTTGTTATCGGGATTTATACAATCTCCTACGCTGTAGATATTATCGTTAATGAAATTTAACTTTTCTGTACTGCTCTTTCTGACTCCTACTCAATTTTTCTTTTTATTCTACCTAGTGACTTCGCGCTTTCAGATCTAATTTATGTATATGTAAAAGTTACATAGCCTACTAAGTATGTATACGAAAGTAATTTCGATTTTCCATACAATTATTAGCGAGAGTAGGAAGTAATAATGCAGGACTGTGTGAAAGATAAAACTGCATTAAAACTTCAATAATTGGAAACACATTATGCTTTTTACTTCGTCTAGAAAATTAGATTCTTTTTTATTGCACACGTATAGGTTTCTATAAATATTAATTTAGCAAATAAATTTAATTTTCGGAGTTAATCAAAACAGTCAATTAAATCAACTAATCTGAAGTAATCCAAACTGATGCTCATGGAGATAGATCACAATTAGTGAAAAAAAGTCGTTAATTAATCAATATTTTCTCTCGTTACACATCTCATGACGGAGTTAATGTCGCGCACGTTACACAACAATTCAAGTAATTCAACCGTTCGGTAATGATGTCCATTGACTGACCAAGATGATCAACAGGTTCTCCTCAATTTTCTTCCAGCCCCGATATTTGCTGACGAGCTTAGCAAGTAACGACCTAGCGATTGGTCTTTTAGTGACGCCTTTCGGTTTCCTACCAGCTGTTTACGGATGCTGGCCATATGGTGAAGTTGTCTGTCAAATTCAGGTAACTTTTACAACTCTTTTTAAATAGTTTCATATTTATCTTTAAACATATTTTAGATTTGTTATGCGAGTCACGTTAGTTTTGCTTGCTAATCAATATTTATTATATTCTAACTGTAATTAATTCTATATGAGTATAAGATTGATAACTTGATAATATTAGGTGTACAAATTAATTCTCGGTCCCTACTTTTCAGTAACCTCAGAACCCGTTTAAGTTGAACTCCCCCCCGCCCCTCTGTAGTAATTTTGAAGTGCCATTATCTTTTAGCTTTAAAATGAGGTACAATACCTGATCTTTCTGTGAACGTAATTTGAAAAATCAGCAGTAAACACGATGTCGTCCGAAAAGCAACATTTGAAACACACTACCTTCTTTTCGCGTTTCAACTTAAAAAAAACGCGACTGAGATAAAAGAAATGATTTGTTCGGCTTTGGGCGAGAATGCTGTATTGTACAGTACGTGTAAAAAATTCCAACAGTTTCGAGAGGGAAATGTCCTGGTTAACCAAAAAATGTGAAATACGTTGAGTTGGAGAAAATTTTGAACGAGAATTCTTGCCAAACGCAATTAGAACTTGCAAATACGCTTGGAGTAACTCAGCAAGACGTTTCTTATCGTCTAAAACAGCTGGGGTGGATTTGCAAGGAATCTCGATGGGTCCCTCATAAGCTCTCACTCCCGAAAACAAAAGCAGACGTCACGATACTGCTCTCTCCTTGCTCTCTAGTTAAAAAAAAATTTTTTGCACAAAATTGTTGCTTGTGATGAAAAGTGGATATTGTACGAGGATCCTAAGAGGCGAAAATCATGAATCCGTCCAGGGCCCATATTCTGTACACGTCTATCGACAGTTGTCGGTGTCGTTAAGTAGCGATAGCCAATAAGAACTGCACTTTTCTTCCAGAACAGTCTTTGCCATTGGCTATCGTTAATTATCGACAATGTCGGTAGACGTGTACAGAATATGGGCCCTGGTGAGCCGTCAACGAGCATCGCAAAACCGAACATCCACGCAAAAAGGTGGTGCTATGCATTTGGTGGGCGTGATCCATTATGAGTTGTTCCGACAAGGTCGGACCGTGACTGCTGAGCTCTATCAACAACAATTGATTTGTGTAAATGACGCTTTTGAAGAAAACAGGTCATTTACTGACAGTGGAAGAAGGAAAGTGATACTGCTGCAGAATAACGCCCGGCCCCATACAACAAAAAACACTCAGAAAACCATCTCCGATTTAGGCTGGGAAATTTTCCCTCATATGTGGCGTATTCTCCAGACTTAGCCCCTTCGGATTATCACCTATTTCGAGCCCTACAACAACACCTAACTGATTCTCGATTCAAGTCGGTTCAAGAGGTCGAAAAAAGCCTCGATGAATTCATTAATTCGAAGCCACCATCATTTTTCCGATCTGGAATCCGGCAATTGCCTGAGAGATGGAAAAAATGTATAGATAGCGAGGAAGATTATTTTGAAGATTGAGTTCATATTCAGGTTTTTATACATAAATGTCAAAGTTGGTCAAAAAAGGCCGAGAATTAATTTGTACACCTAATATATTTTATATTAATAGTGTTTTTGTGTATTGTGCTGTAATAAATATTAATTTGAATATAAACGTTGGAGATTACGACATCACTTATAACGTTGAGTGTTAAAGAGCCGTTCAATAACCTCGAAACTTGACAGCGTTTCTTTGCTAGAAATCGAGGAATTTATAGGAAATCTCGAAATGGTATTCGCGATGCTTGGCAGGAAATTATTATCGTTTGAAACTCGTGGCTGCACTTCCGGCAGCCGGTACTTCTTCCGCCATTTCCTCTACCAGTCGGCGGCTGCGACGTTATCGGAGTTCCTGGCGATAATCTTTACGCATTGCTCCTTTCCCTCCGATCCCTTCCTCGTTCTCTACGCCATCTTCTGAGGTAACGGTCTGATTTGTGATCGCATATTTCTTCATTTCGCACGTGCTAAACTCCGGAATGTACCGTTTCGTTGGCAGATCTCGAATTTCGTAGGTATTTGCTTATCTAGCCGTAACGGGAAATTGCCGTAATATCTTGCGCGAAATTAGTAAACACAAGTTATATATTATATAAATTAAATACAACTTTACGCGCAATTTATAACAAATACTCGTCGAGTAGTACAATTTAATATTTGTTAAAAAGAATTATTCTTTTTAATAATAAATAAAAATACAGCATGTCATATAACCGTGTCGCTTTACTCTCTGATTATCTAATATAATAACAACACTGTTAATTAACTTATACAATATTGTGACAACGTAGAACGTATTTTTGTATGCTTGAGTAATAAAAAATATCGAGATACTTAATTTTACAATAGTAACTTCAAATAATAAAATTTAATAAAAATTTAACAAAGAAACCACTA